AGGGCCAGCCCCAGCCACCAGCCACTGTCAGTGACTGAAGTGGCAGATCCCTGATGTCCAGGAGATGAAAGAGATGTGCAAAAAGCCACAGACAAGAGATCGTACAGCAGCAAAGTGAGTCCAGTGTGTTGCTGCAATGGGACCTCAGGTCAGTTTTAACTTCTTCCTCAGTGTAGTCTTTTCCATGGTTCTCCTGGGAGTTGTTTTTGGTTTCAGAGACATGCTTTGGAGGTGCCACCTTGTCCCCTGGGTCCTTGCCTGCCCTCCTGCTTCTGGAGTAGGACTGCCAGCTATTGCAAGAGAGATAGGAGCAAGCCACTTTTGGGTCCCCAAGGGAAAAAAGGGGCTCTGTTTTGCTTCATACAGTTTCTGTGCATTAGTAAACCACAGGGCTTACATGCCAAAAAACTCAGGTTTGGATGCCGCAGCCCACTGCCGCATGTAGGTGCACCCTGCAGGGCTCAGCCCCAGCCTGTACCAGCACTGCACTGCAGGGCATTGCTGCACACTGGGGGCGAAGAAATATAAACACTCAAACCTTGAAAACTGCCTGAAACTTGCCCACCCTTCAAAAGCATCCTTCCCTCCCACCCAACAAGCACAGACACAAAAAGCCACCTCCTCCCCTCCCTGCAGGCTGTTACTCAGAGCCCGCCTATTGTCCGACACCTTTCTGCATTTAGAAGCAGCACCTATATTTAGAGCACGTACGGCAACGCCTGCCCCAGCCCTCAGCACCACCGCACCCCTGGCCCCAAGCCCTATGTAGTCCCATGCTGCCCGTCAGGACTGACTCCCCCAAACTCCAGCACAGGGAGCAATGCTCCAGCAGCTTCAGTTTGAAGCCACAAACTGTTCGTAGATGGCTGAAGGTGGAGTGGCAATGCTCAGAAGGTGACAGGAGATGCCCATGACATCAGCCAGCACCAGGGACCTTCCCTGCAGCTGCATGGGGCACAGCTTACCCCCATGCACCAAAATGGGGGATGCAGGAGCTGAGCCAGAGCAATGGAAAGACTTCCTGGGGAATTTTTGGATACTTCGACAGCTGGAAATGTTTGTTTAGGAAGCACAGGGAGAGCAGGGACAGCAGAAGCGCCCACCAGTGAGGACCAATCAAGGCAATAGGAGATTTTGGCTCCATAAGGGGATCTGCAACTTGGGTGTGCAGAGGGCAGCTTGACCACTGGAAAGACAGGGTCTGGCCCATCACCGACCTCAGGAGCTGCCAGTCTTTGGAGCTGGTGGGATTTGCTTCTGACAAGCAGAGCTCTGCTGGAGGAGCTAAAAAAGTGATCAGGGCTGATCTGCACATGCAGGAGCAGAGCAGTTTGTGCTCTGAGCATTTCGCAGTCAGGAGAAGACAAGCGTTAGTTATCCAGGATCAAAGCAAAGTCAGTCCAAAGCTTTGCTTGAGGCTGGAAACAGCCCCGAGGACCTGGACCAAACTGCAGCAGTGCAAAGCCATGGGCGGGTGGAAGGGCAGGACGAGGGCAGCACCACCTCCACTTGCCCAACATCCCATCTCCACACACATGGCCATGCTTGGTCCAACTACACCAACCAGACACCCAGCACACAAAGCAAGCCCTTCCCTGAGCCTGCAAAAGCACAGTACCTTCCAGCTCCCCAGGAGCACACTTGGGCTGATGATGGACAGAACTCACAGCAGAAACATGCCAGTGATTGCCAGGGTGAGCCACCCATCACCACAAGACAACCAGTATCTCTCCAGGCTGGCAGGCAAAGCATCACACCCAAAGCCAAGGGTGCACATGGATCATTAGACCTGGCAGCACATAATTACCAGGTTAATTAATGATGAGTGCTGGAAGGTGGCCCTGTACTGCACTTTCAGTATTTTCAGTAGGAAAATACTTGCTAGACACCCTGCTCACCCCGCTAGACCACACTCCTCTCCCAAAGGCCCACTGACTCTCGGACACCCACCTGCCCCCCGTGCCAAGGCCATAGGGTGTGCAGACCCAGCCAGCCGATGGCAGCCCCTTCCAAAGGGGGTACCAGGCACCGAGAGCAGGCAGGGGCCATGGCTGCAGGGGAAACAGGCAGAGGATGTGCTGAAGCCAGGTTACTCCACCAGGAGGACAGAGCTTAGGGTACAACCAAGCGTGCACATCTTCTATCCCCAGCAGACGTGGGCATTTTCTTTTCCTGGGAAAACACAGCAAAGAGGTTTGTCATCATCCCCTTGGCACTGCTCATGCCAAGCAAGCTGTACCCCCAGGGACAGCCCTGTCCTTGTCCCTTGCGCATCCCACTCCCACAGACACTACTTGGTACAGCCAGCAGCAGAGCTGCCAGAAGACCCCTCACCATGGCCACCTCTGACAGAGAAAATGTAACTCCCACCACTGGAAACATCTGGGTGAGGACAGCAGGGCAATGTTCCCAATACTCTGCAACAGCGACGGGTGCACAGCAGCCCCCCTGGGGAGGCTTGGTCCTGCCCACCCCCAAACAGGGTGAGGGAAGTAAAAACCCCAAGGGGCTCCCCAGCATTTTCAGATTACTAAAACAAATCCATGTATGTGTATATCTTTATATATACAGCATATAAATATATATACACACACATACTGTATATACACACACAGGCACACCTAGAGTTCTCCGTATATAAATAAATATATGTTGGTGGGAGACAGGATACATTCGGCAGCACTGACCCCCCCTGCCCTGCCCCCACCTGCCCCAGCACAAACCAGGTGGCTTCAGTTTTGTTTGTCATGCCCCTGGCAGGCAGAGCCACTCCAGTCTGCCTGGTACACCCCAAATCCTCACCCCTTGCACCCCTCTATCACACCTTGCCCCTCTTCCAGGCTGGATGAGACCCTTGGGGAGGGAAATTCAAAGCCACAGCAGCACAAGCCCAAGTAACAGAGCAAAGGGGGCTCCTGGAACCCCCTTGTTGGGACTCTCCAGCCTCCGGGAGCGAAAAAACATCGAGACGAGCCTTCCTGGGGGTCCTGCTTGGGGCAGGGAGCAGGGCTGCAGCTGGGGGGAATCTCATGTTCCCCCCAGAATGTGCAGCTGACTGGGTCGCTCTGCTGCCCATCAAATGCTTCTCTGTGCAGAAAAAAAAAATGATAGTAATAAATGAAAGTCGACAGATTTTAATTTTTTTTTTGCACAAAGACTTTTTTTTTTTCCTCTTCTTTTCCCCCCTCCATTCCGGTCGGTTTGGTTTTCTCCTTTTCCCCTGCATTTGGTTTTGGTTTTGTTTCATTCCCAGGCGTGGCAAAGAGCATGCATTGGAGAGGGGCAGGGCAGTGGTGGGACGGGGGAGAGCTGAGACGGGGTGGGGGCAGCTTCTAGCACTTGTCGTCTTCCTCGGTGTCGCTGAGCACATCGATGCTGGCCCCACACATCATACCCTGCCCTGCC